GTTACATCTATTCTGTATGTATAGAATACAATGATATTATGTAAAGATTAAACACATACCAATACTTTAGAGCATACAAAATGTTACATCTATTCTGTATGTATAGTATACAATGATATTATGTAAAGATTAAATACATACCAATTCTTTTAAGCATACACAATGTTACATCTATTCTGTATGTATAGTATACAATGATATTATGTAAAGATTAAACACATACTAATTCTTTTAAGCATACACAATGTTACATCTATTCTGTATGTATAGAATACAATGATATTATGTAAAGATTAAACACATACCAATACTTTAGAGCATACAAAATGTTACATCTATTCTGTATGTATAGTATACAATGATATTATGTAAAGATTAAACACATACCAATACTTTAGAGCATACAAAATGTTACATCTATTCTGTATGTATAGTATACAATGATATTATGTATAGATTAAACACATACCAATTCTTTTAAGCATACACAATGTTACAACTATTCTGTATGTATAGTATACAATGATATTATGTAAAGATTAAACACATAACCAATTCTTTAGAGCATACACAATGTTTACTTGAATACATATTTAACTTATAAAAACTTATTAAAAGGCTTTCAGAAATTATTATGTTTAGCCAATGATACTGAACATTATTACAAACAGGATTTATTTTGTGTGTGTATATCTTAATAAGAAAAAAAATTAATTGGATTTATCAAAGTTTGTCCAATTTCCATGTAAATATAATTTGAATTCACGTTTCACTCGCTTAGTGAAAAATTCAGGAAGAATTGCTCTGCAGTAAAAAAAGTGAAGCCTTGGTAGCATGTATGATAAAACAAATTCTTCATCATATTGTATTGACTCCACAAACAATGGTTCACTACCACCAAACCAAACAACAAAATCAATACGTTTCAAATCAGCACAAAACATTTGGCCTTGAACTTGATAATAGTATTGATGTTTGCATTTGAGCTTGATAGTGCCACCATTATTCTCCAAGAAGAACTTCTTATCTTTAAGTGCATCCTGAAGAGAGGTTTTGAACTTGGAGAATGGACATTTTATTTCCAAACCCCATCTTTCATTCTTACAAGAAACCATGCCATCCAAAGATGCACCAAGAAAAGGAGAAGAAGAAGATAATTGCAGGCCAGTTTCAGAAACAGTGACATTCAGGCCATGCTCTTTCATGTAGATTGTGTAGAGCTCAATGGCATGTCCTTCAAATTTCTTGCCATGGCTGGTTGCTAAGGTTGAGAAAGACTTGTAAAACATGGATTTTATTTTTGAAGATGGCTCAACGGTGTTTACGGCAGCAGTGTAAAAGTTTGAGGCTGTTAGTCGATAAAGGCGATAATCTATCCAATTGCTGTTGGAGGATTGACCACAGGTCACCTTCTCAATGTCAGAAATTTCTTCAGCAGACAAAGATAGGTTATGACAATAAATGTCCATCATATCTTTAAAAGATTGTTTGGAGATATCGAAGCACTCATTGAAAGAGACTGCTTCGGCTAAAGATGGATCTTGAGTTTCAGTTGCACTGGTGAAAGCACTGTCACTTGAAGGAGGAAGATCAGATGTTGAAGCTGGATAAAAACCAAAGAATCCACTGTTTGGCATGAATTTTGTTAATTTCGATTTTAAAATTTCAAGATCATTAATGTTCACGGTTCTATGGCTGGTAATGCGAGGGTCAAATGTTTTTGATTTTGGAACATCATAACCATCATAATTCCTTCCAAACTTAATCTTCTTTATCACAACTTCATCAATTGGAGCTGGATTAAAGGACCGAAGGGAAGAGGCATTTGGCACATTCCATGAGGATAATTTTGATGTGCAGGAAACTGCTGATTCAAATCCTTGAAGACCACGCCGGTTAAAATCTTCCAGGGCAAAGAGAACTCCACCAACATGGTTGCAGTTTCCAAAGCCACCAAGACCAATGCCAGCAGGACAAGAACAGGCAGCAGAGCAAACATCACCAGAAATATTTGAATGCTTTAAAATTACTTTATAGAGAACCTTTTTCATAGATGCCTTGACACGAACATTGAAGAAAGTAAACTCCTTGTTCTTAGCTACATCGATCTTTTTTATAAAGCCTTCAAAGAAAAACTGAAATGCTTTCAGTTTCTTGTAGGCAGTACTCTTAAGAAGGATGTGCTTGAATTTGGATGTTCGAATAACCAAATATTCATAGAGCTGCAGAAAAGTAAAAGGGGGTGTTCCACGTAAGTCAGCTGTCCAAGGAAGGTGCTTGCACTGATCATAAATAGCCTCAAATGTGAAATCATTTTCGTGACAAAGTAAGGAGGACTCATCTGAAATGTCATTGGATTGAGAATTGAAATTCTTTGCACGACAAAAGACCGCATATGCACGAAGAATAAGGTCGGCTTTGACACCGGAAGTTTTCTCCCTGTATGCTACAAGAATATGCTTCAATTCTTTAATAGTCAATGCGCCAAGATCTTCTAAACAATCAACTTTCTTTTCCTTCGGCAGCAACAATTTGAATGCATCCATTTCAATGAAAAATCGGGCGTGAAAAATTCTTAAACGTAGAAATATATAATCGACTCTGTAGATGTCTAAAGAGGCCCGAACGTTCGCACAGCCGACTACATCAGTTGCCTCGACTTCAAGCGCTCGTCTCTCTTTCAAACACCACGTGACGTAATTGTGAAAGGGGTCTACTCAATGTGGAATTTGTTGATCTTGCAGCTTTGCGCTGCTTTCCATCAACTTCTTTTGGAAATATGATTTTAATATGGAATTTATTTGCTAGATCTACTCTAAGATTTTTTTTCGTAATTTCTAGACCCTTAGAAGATTTTTTAGTAGTATTTTTTTGCATATGTTTTAATCTGAGAAAACATTCTAAATTGTGAAGAGGGATGAAAAGCAAAAAAAGTTAAATGATCTATCAAAGTATTGATTAAATGAATTGGTATAAAGAAATATTCTACTAATGATCTTGAATCATAGGCTGTTTACTTCTATATGCCTAATATAATTGTATGTACCTACATGTGTCTTTTTGAAACTACTACTTTTTCAGGTACGTTTGGCTCTTGACCGGGCAGTGCCTTACACTGAAGCTACATTCTTACCCGGCCTAGCTTCGATCGCACAGTTCTTTGGCAAAATAGCTTTTGGCAAGCTATCAGCCATGAAAGTGGCGAGCAATTTGGCTTTGTGTCAGATTTCGTCCGCTTTTATGGGAGTATTAATGTTTTTGCCATTTCTTAAATGGTTTTTTGGCCTAGCCATAATCTCGTTTGTTTTTGGCTTTGCCCAAGGAATGTTTAGTGCCTCTAATTTAATTATTGTCAAGGAAATTGTAGGAACGCAGCAATTTAAAAGAGGATACATTATCAGTCAATTCTTCACAGGGATTGCTACCTTTTGTGGCCCCCCAGTTGCAGGTAAGAAAACATTTCTAGGGGTCTTGGCTGGGATTAAAGAATGATGTTGGAATCATGAAAACGTTATATCATTCAGAATTTATAAAACAATTAAATCGTATCATATGATAAATGATGTAATACGATGTGGTTTAAATAAATTGGAATGGAATAATGTGCATGATAATTCTTTAACAAATTTCATTTACAATGTGATATTTCATTTCATTTATCAAGGATTTATGTAAGCAAAAATGCCTGCATCACGTACAAAAGTTTTATCAATATTTCTTTGTACGGAAAAAAATTTCACCAATCCAATGTTTAAAGATTTAACTATTGAAATGCCCTTTGCTAAAGCAATGCTGGAATACGTAAATCCAGCTGTGGATCGAAACGTGCCAATGAGAAAGGCAAGCACATGTCTGTCGAGCTTGTCCATTTGGTGCCGTTTAATTATTCAAAATATTTTTACCAGTCTATTTCTAGGGTGAAAACAAATTCTTTCTGTTTACACTACAGAGGCTGTTTCATCTTTTATGTAGATAGATTCCAAAAAAATGCTGGATGTTAAGACGATCAGGCTTTTGAGGGCTTATAAATTCACATGAGTGTTAGACGAAAAGCTGAAGTATGTCTCAATATGTTTGCAATTTTTAAAGCCATTTTGATCTTAGTACTAATAAAAAAGAAAAATATAGTAAACAAAATCTAATTTTTTGAAGAAATTTCTACTGTTTCTGAAGTCGTGAAAAGTTCATCTTACCGTGAAATACATATTCAAATTTCCAGGGAAGTTCATATTGTGTTCTGGGTGGTGGAGTTTCGGAAGTTACACTTTGTGTATAAAAGGGAATATGGCCATTATCGTAGCAAGTCAGTTTCACGTGAAGCTTTACATCAGTCTATTGTACCTTTTATCTCTCTCTTATCGTTTCTATCGTTTTATTATCTTTTCTTATTTCTCTTGTAGGTTATTTGTATACTGTCACTGGCAACTATATACTCGTTTTTCTCATTGCTGGAGGATGTGCTGTTATGGGAATGCTTCTGATGTTCCTCGTGCGATTTTTTCATGCTCAAAACATAGAGGAAAATGAATCTCCTCAAACTGTTGAAGCTGTTAATGTAATAGAAGTAATAGTTAATAATCATACTTAATGTAATCGAATAAGAAGCTTTCAATAAAATGTAAGTAACTTGGAATGAAAGGTGCTGCTTCAAAATGTAACAAAGCTTTGATTGTGACTTTTTAATTAAATTCAGTAAACAATCAATATTCTTGTCGATTTTTTGGTAGCAACTTTCGTTACCGCTTTGAAACTTGATAGAAAATGAAAACACTACCAAAAATATTACGATCTTTTCGTAAAGAATTTAAACTGAATCCATGTTTTCTGTCTGTTTTTAAAGGGGTGTAGTTCTTTATTTGTAGTTTTTATGTTAATAAGCCAAAATTAATAAATACATCGGTGCTATGTTATTCCGGTCATCTGTATTTTTTTTTTAAAGCTAGGCACTGGTTAAACCATTTTCTTGCACAAAACAGCTTATAAAGTAGGATTTCACACTTACGGGACAAAAGTATTGCACAGCCTCAAGCAGAAATGGTGGCAATGCTGCAAAAATTCCTGGAGCTAACAAAAGTAGCAGCAAGTTATACTAAAATTGCAAGATAACTTTTCGTTGGCGAATATATTCATTTTTTTCAAAAGAAACTGGCTATAAGAAACAAGTACTGGACAGTCAGAAAAAATTAAGAAACTTTTGTAATCGATGCAAAAAGAAATTAAGAAAATAATAAATCGTGATAAAACTGCGAACAACGAAATTTTGTAAAATCCAGAACATGATTGCCCTGTTGGCCTATAACTTAAGACACAAGGCTTGTTCCACAATCACTTACAGAAATGTGATCATTCTTTTTCAAATATTGTCACGATTGACAGACATCAGATACAAATTGACTAACTTGATCTTCGCCAAACATTTGAGTTGCCAGATCCCCAGCAGCTTCGATTAACTCTTTGGGGGACTTTGCTTCCAAAATTTTAATTTAATTATTGATTGTATTATTTTCTTCTACAATCATTCTTTGCTCAAGGAAATTTTTCGCAGATTGCACAATTTCTCTTCTTATTGCGCCTTTGTCTCTACTTCTGGGTGTCACAAATCGATGGGCATTTGCAGCTTGGCGAACATTAGTTTCATCACCATTTATGACAACTTGACATTCCTCATGGTAGTCCTCTTCTTTTCCTCTAGGAAATGGAATTTCTGCCATTAGCTTTAGACTTTCAATATCACCATCTTCACCACTGATTATATCTGGGAGTATCAAATTTGATTTTTGAAACAGCAACTGCAATCTTTTGAAGATGTTGCAAAGATCATACATGACAGCAGTAAGCCACAACTGCAGTGATCTCTTTTCCCATTTTCTAAGAAATCCTTGTGCCATTTGTTTTTCAGTTCTCTCTGTTGAAATTGTTCCACCACACATCTTTGTCCAAACATTTATTGCTGCTTCCAGGTTATGAAGGACAGCTTTAAGTACATTAAGGGTATGTTCTGCAAACCGAACTTCAAAATGCTTTGGGAAAGTGAGGCAGTTTTTATTCTCTTTATGAAGTAGCTTTGTTCTTCGAGGAGGTGAACGAAAAAATGAAATAACAGCCAGCACATTTGTCATCCAGAGAGCAAGTTCAGGTACGTTGGACTGTACGGATTCCAGTGCTAAGTCAGACCTGTGGCAAACACACCACACAGTCAAAATATTATTGCCAATGTGGTCTTTCAGTAGTTTCAACAATTCTTGCCTTTTGCCAGTATTTGTAGCCTCTCCATCTGTTGTTACCCCAACCAACTTCTCCGTGTCGACACTTAGATCATTCATACACTGTACAAAACAGTCCAGAAGACCATCTGCATCACCAAGTTCACTGCTTGCAATGCCGAAAAAAACTGTTCTTACACTTACTTCATCTGTTGGAACAAATCGTGCTGTGATGAATTTGGAGTCAACTTGCTGTTTATCAGTACTTCCATCAATCTGTATACAAAAGCACAGACACTGCTTCAAAACTTGACTGATGTTTTGCTTTTCCAAAGATGCCACAACTTCTGTCATTTCTGCATAAACAAGTGGATCTTTGTAATGAAAAGCAGATGCGCATGGGCTAAATGGAACAAATTCTGATTCCCATCCTTCTTTTTCAAACTGGCGAATCAAGCCATCACTGAACTCCGATGAAAGAGACCTTGAAGGCCAACTTCGTGCACTCATTGTTTCAGCTCTTGCATCGTTGTACACATCTACAGCAATGCGTACCAAAGATTGTAATGTTTCAGTTTTTGTTTTTTTCATTATTCTTGCTGTCCATTGCTTGTAAACTTTATCACTTGACCTTCATACTTTCTGCAAAGTAAACAAGACATCAAAGGTCTTTGCCGTTTGTCTTTTTCTTCTCTCCTTAAATCTAAGCACTGTTCAGACAAAAGAAGCCAGTTCATATCAAGCTCCTTCCTCTATACCACACTGGTGACTGGGACTCAGCACTGTTGACTGATTTTTCCCGTTTACCACTTGATGTTGATGGCTGCTGTGATAGCTGTGGTGCACCAGGTTGTGTTGTTAGTTCATTGTTGACGATCTCCAAACTTTCTAATTCCTCTTTGGAACCATCAATCTTTGCTTGATACACTTTTTCTTGATTTGAAACATTTGACATTTGTACTTCCATGTCAATTTGATCCTCCATTTGTTGTTGTTCAGAAGACCCAATAGGCCTACTAGTAGGCCTAGGCCCAGAAGTTGCTCTGGCATTGAACATATCAACAATTGACCTCTGGCCTGGAGCAGCAGCTGCTGTCCTTAGATCCTTTCTCTTACTTTCACAACGCTTTTCATAACCACTTTTCTCCCTTCGCTTCATTTTGAGCTGGTATTTTGACTGATACTGTAGAAACGCCGATTTGTGAATGTCTGAGAAAAATGGCAGACTTTTTGACGCTCGTTGTGATCACTCTGGCTGTGATTGAAATTGTTGTTGTTGCTGTGATAAAATTGAAATGAAGATTTTTCTCAGAAATCAGAGAACTGAATACCAGGAACCAGGGCTAGGTTGTTTGTTTGAACAAAAATGATAAAAAAGAATATTCTGTAATTATGTGTCAATTAATTTCTATATTGTGCACAAATTTGTTACCAACCTTTTGAAACACCGGTTTCTTTTATCTCTAAGGGCTACAAAATGGCCGACAATTGGGGCAAATATAACATTTTTCTCTTCAGTGGTGGGGGAACTCGTAGGGCCTGGTGGGGCAATTCCCCCACCACTCAGTATGTTTAAAAATGCCCTGGTTGTTTTAGGTTTGAAAGCCGTGTCGTTTACAACTCCGTGGCTAAAACTCATTTGTCAATGTTGTGCAATACGTTTGCTCAAAGAGTGTATATGAGCGCCAGAATAAATGAAGAATCCTGTTGAAAATAATGAGGAGCATTGTCAGAATTTTATTTCAAAAGTCATAATCCCAAATAAGCTTCTAGAGATTAAAATTGTCACTAGCAGAAGAAAGATAGCTTCTGTTTTAAAGAAACATTTTCCTTGGACTTCACTCTCCATTGTTTACTTAAAAAACTCATTGTAAGACTTGTTTGGGAGATGAAGCCTCTGGTACTTTGTTTCCGCACAACTTATCTGTGTCGCAGAGTCATAGCACATGCGCATTGATAACAGGATTCGCACAGCTGCTTTGCCTGTTACCTATCTCTATGCTGTGACCACACAGCTCCTGAGCTTCCCACCAGGGCTTCAAATGATAATACGCATGAGCAATCACCACCAATCGGGGACTAGTGCATGGTCTGGAAGACGAGCATTATTCATCTCCCAGACAAAGACATAGCGGGATTGTTGAGGAGACGATCTTTTAAAGATCGTATTTGGATTTTAGATGGTAAGAAGTTTGTAAAAGTGTGGTTGCATTAAATGAGCAGTGGCAGTATCATGATTGATACTGCTGCGTAAGGGGTCAAGTTCGGTCTTATCTTAGACAATAACTTAACTCTCGAGATTGCCTTCTTAGATTTTTCTCTAAGTTTTCAGCGTATGTAAGGTTTTTTCCACCATGATCCCTAAATATTGATAAGCTGTTGACTCTGCAATTTCCTATCCATCCAACTTGATTTTAGGTGCTGTCGCATGACACTGATAGGAGATAAGCAGAATGAATGCGCAAATCGTGATAAGGCATGAAAATTTGTTCAAACATACAATTTGACATGCTGAAAAGATGGGATTGGGACCAAGTCTGAGAAATTCCCTTAAGAGCTATTTTTAGAATGATTCGTTGCTCCCAGACTTCTTAATTGATTATCTCAATAACTTTGTTGAAAATGAAATCAATCACATGAAAATCGGTATAGATACGAATCATAACACAGTAATATGATTTAGACTCACATCCACCGTCAAAATGCCCACTTATGCTATATGTAGACCATGTACTCGTTCCCAGACCTCCAAAACGCTTATTTCTACAACTCCACTAAAAATAAAATCAATACCAAGCAACATGATTTAGATAATAATTATAGCACACAAAAAAGAGTTTTATCGATACCCATCTTCAAAATGCCCCCAAATGCTTTTTTTTCAGAATGCTTAATTGTTCCCAGACTCTTAATTTGATTATCTCAATAACTTTGTTGAAAATGAAATCAGTGACCTGAAATTTAGCTGGAATATTAATCATAGCAAACAAGAAAATTAGAATGATTTGGATTTACAAACGTAAAGGATTTAGATTGACTTCCATCTTCAAACTGCTACCGAATGCTGTTTTTAGAATGTGCAATAGTTCCTAGATCTCGAACAAGTTCTTCTCTGGAATGTCGCTAAAAGCCAACTAAATGCTATTAATCTTGTATTAATACTAATATATATATATTGGATTATAACAATGATATGGTCAGCGAAAACATTGAATCAGCATTTATAATTCAAGGAGCACAAAGACTACTGTACCAAAGATATGGTCTCCCCTATGGAGCTTTACGGCAAAACCAATTTCAGCATTTATGGAAATGTTCCTTTTTTTCCCAACTCCCAGCCTTCCTTATTAGTCCCGATATCAAGACTTTATCCCAACCAGTGAGA